AGCAAGGAATCAGTAAGTGCATCTTTGTCATTATAACCCTGCATGCTCCATGGTCACATTTCCAGTTGTCTCCGAGAGGAGACATCATTTGACCCAGAAATAAAGTAGATTATTCTCACAGTTCCTGCCAGAGACAAAAAGGCTACAGGGTAAAGAATGAAAGCTGGGCATTAAAAATAATTTTCTTTTTTTTTCTTGCTTTTAATTTTTAAATTAGTCAGGAATATACTGGCTATTCAATGTGAACGATGTGGGACATCAAAATGGGAGTCTTGATCAGATAGTATCATTACTTACTTTTGTTCCAAGAGATACACTGAAATTGGATTTTAATGGTTATAACTTTTGCTGCTTTCTCAGTTAAAGGACATGATTATTTTCCTGAAGAAGGTGTCTGTGTGGGAAAATTGTCTACTGTGTTTCTCTTGTGATTGTGATCAGATGGCATTTAGTTGCAAGGATGAGCTGGGAAGTGACTATTTTAGGAGTTTTCATTTACCTGAGAACTGATCAGATGCAGTTAAAGCATAATGCAGCTTGGGCAAAGCCACTCAACCAGTAACTGAACTCACTTAACTATGCACTAGATGTCTGTAAGATCCCATTTAGTCCTCCATTTTTGGAGGACAAACCTTGTAGCTCCAAACACAGATAATTGAAATTATCATAGGGTATTTGATCCGATAAAAGAGAATATTTGTGCCTCATTATTAGAGTAGGGCACCCTTTACATCCGCATTGAAAAGATTTTTTGCATTTATTCGCCATCTTAAGAAACCAGAAGACAAACATGATCGCTTGAGTGGCTGGGTTGATTCAAGTGATACTTGGCCACTCATTTACCTTTGATCCAGTGAAAAAACCCACTTGATCCTGGTTTCTTCATCTTGGCGTAGATTCCTGTTAGAGCTTCTACTCAGCTTATACATCTGTACTCTGAACCTGTATTTAAGCCTCTTAGCAAAGATAGAAGCATCTTGCTTTATTTCCCTCCTGGCAGTTGCTTATCTTGCGGCATGGAGAAGGAAGTCTAGTGTACTTGGAAAATCACAATCAGAGCCTGAAAATTATCCTCCCAGCATCCCAGTAATTGGAATAGAAAGAAAATAATCTCTGGTTAGTGCTGTGTCCTCTTTATGGATTTCAGTTAAAGAATGAGGAACTGGAGAACATTAGTGGAAGTATGCAACACTCTCTGTTATTAATCTCTACTGCTCAAAGACATGATCTTACTGTGACAGAAAATTAGTCAATCCTTTTAGGGTTAAATTAAATTGATTTAGGTTTTTCAGCTGGATTTCTTTCAGATGTAGCAGTGAACTGGGAGGGTTTTACATTTTTGTGAACATCTACTTTCACCCAAGCTCTGATGTTTTGGTTCATGCTTGCCAGCTAATAGAAGGTTGCTGGTCGAGAAAGAAATTGGCCTCGCTGCAGGCCGTTTTGTACTGCCCTGGTTCCTGAGGCAGTGGGATTATGGACCAGACAAACCGTTTCAGCAGCTAGCTTCCATCCATACAGTCTTCCCTAGTTGTGTTCCCTGAGATGTAATCCTAGTCCCACAGTGGGATGTATGTGTGTGGGAATACCATGTCTGTAGGAGAAGGTGTTCATATGTTCTGGGGGTGGTTGTGCCTGGTTACCAAGTCACAATGGAAGAAGGACTGGAGTAGGTAGCTTTCACGTGATACTGAACAGCCCGTCAGAAAGCCTGGGCACGATGGCTCTGGCTTTCAGAATGGATAAACCATGGTCCATGGCTTAGTTATATCCTCCCAAAGAGTTATCTCAAACATTCATTTTGAATACAGAGCTCTGTCCCAACTAGTGTTTCCTTGGCAAATGAGATGCAAATTTAATTTGATGTATTTTTTTGTTTGTTGAAAATGGGATAAAAATTGTAGGAGAGTCACTGTGGTGTATCTGGACATTTGAGCCTAGCCAGGAATCACTCATCTAAGCTGACCCAGGCCAACAATACAGCAGGAAAGGGTAAAGCTGTGATGCATCTGCAAGGAGACGAGGGTGCACAGGGCACTCTGGAGGCTCTGGATTCTATATGTTCCCAAGGCAAAAATACATAATTCCTTGTTTGACTTTCTAACTTCAAGTGCTGTCTGTTTTTTAAAAATTGTAGAGCTGAGCACTTGCAGCTCCAGACCACTCTGCTTTAATGCAGTGACGATGTAAAGGTTATTTTCTGACACTTGAAACATTTTGCTGGTCAGATATGTAATGCCTAGGTAAATTGAGCAGTATTGCGTCTATGTTAGTGAATTATTATTGTTATTATTGTGCTTCTCTAACTCCTTGGTTCGTTCCGTTCCAAAGGGAATTGCTCCACTGTCCTGCTTGCTCAACTAATAAGAATTTCATGATGTTTAGTCTTAGATATACAGTACAAAATAATTGTTTGTCCCACAAATAATTAGTTAATATCTTTGCATTTCTTTCAGACTTAGAAGGTATAGTCATCTCCAGAAATGTGCAAATTCAGTGCTTGGCAGATTCCATGTGAACTGCATAAATACTCTGAGTAGCTTGAGCGATTGTTTTTTTAGTGGGTTTTTTTGTGGGTTTTTTTTGTTTCTCTTTATTAGCACTGCTTGTCTGAGACAAATAGATGAGGGCCTACTGGACATATTTTCTTCCTATACAGAGTGCAGCCCCACATGAAACTAATTGTATAGGCCCGGTATTGCCACTCTGAAAGAGAAGTCAGCAAGTGAATGTATCAGACTATAGTGCTGTACATCCCCATCAAGATGCAAAGGGCACTACTAATGATGCAGGTAGCTCGCCCTCAGTCTTTAAGTGCTGCATCTCTTTTTATGGGTGAATAGGAGACTTTATGTGAAATCCTGCTAATCTGTCACATTTTGCAATCACTGAATTCAAGTAATTCCTAGCTTTTCTGTCAGTGACAAATTGATTTCTCTTTGGATGGACAAGCTTAGGGTACAGTCTGCATAGAGTTTTTGTTCATCTTCTGGTATCCTTGGATGTCTTTAAAAAAACTTCATTTTCTCTTTTTGATTAAATGCAAAGACTTAATGAGTTCTTACTTTTCTCTCTGGAATTTCACAGGAACATGCCTCAATTGCGGTAATTATCCTCTGCTGATATGTCCATTATGCTCCCTCACAGCATTTTCTAGTCATTATAGTACTTCCTAAATTTTGTTTGCTTTGTAAATACTTTTGGTTGTCAGAGGACGTTGGGCCAATTCCTGTCTCAGGGAGAATTTCAAAAAAGTGAGACACATGAATGCTGCAATGCATGGTCAAGAATCTTCCTGTTTCATAGTAGCTCTGTGTGGCTTTTATTGATAATTTTAATGGTTACAAATATCTGACAAAAAGAAAGAAGGGAGAAGTACAGTTCTTGTGGCATTTGGGGGCTGGCTTTTACTAGAGCAGAAACTCTTAAATAGAAAGGAATTATCTGCAACAATACAGATGTATTTACAAATAACTCGTATCATGCTTTAATCATTATTGGCCATGAATTTTTCTCTTTAAAAGGTCCCAAGCACTGCATTTTTATGGATTCATTTCACTAGAATGAATGAATAGTTTGTTCCTCTCTCCTTAGTTTAAATATTTCTCTTAGATCATCTCTTAGATTCTCCGTCCACAGAGAGTAAATTCAAAGACTTAATCTTTGCTTCAGAGAAGCAGACTTAGAACATTGAATATTGTATTCGGAGCAACATGTT